TATGTTTTTTTCTTTTCCGCATTGTTAATTTTTGGGTACTGTTCTGTATTATTATTTTATTTTTCGCTGCAGAACTTTGTGATATGGAGTAGCCGAGGCAATAAGCACCTCAACCTCTCCACAGCAAAACAGTTAAAACAGAACAGAACAGGTATAGCTTATCATGCTCTCTAAGAAGTGTTAAACAACAACGTAGAATAATATGAGTACTGCGGCATGAATATATATATATATATATATATATATATATATATATATATATATATATATATATATATATATATATATATATATATATATATATATAATATAAGGGAAAGAAGTGTATACCTAAGGGCTCGTTTTTCCGTGTTTTAACACAATATTAATGAGATATAAGAGACAGTAATGCCAAGGAATGTACAGGGGAAGTTATAAAAAACCAATGGAATGTAAATAAGAAGAAAAAAAAGTGGATGAAGAAATTACCAACTGTGAGCAGGAATCGAACCTACGACCTTCGAATTACGCGTTCGATGCTCTAACCACTGAGCTATATCTCATTAATATTGTGTTAAAACACGGAAAAACGAGCCCTTAGGTATACACTTCTTTCCCTTATTTCATTGAACGAGGGTCTCGTACTGGCAGACTTGGTGTGTTTAGGTTGTATAAGAGGGACAATTAATCAGCTGCCCGCTCATAATAAGTTCACGTGCTACGTGACGCCAAACATGCGCATAAGAGTGTTTTCACACTCGTTGTTTGGCTTATAGATGGCGCCGACTGTCGCTCCTACTTCTAAATTCACAGATAAACCCAAAAAAGTGGATGGAGGGAGGGCCGCTGTGATAGCTCAGTGGTTAGAGCATCGAACGCGTAATTCGAAAGTCGTAGGTTCGATTCCTGCTCACAGTTGGTAATTTTTTCATCCACTTTTCTTTCTTCTTATTTACATTCCATTGGTTTTAATAACTTCCCCTGTACATTCCTTGGCATTACTGTCTGTTATATCTCACATATATATATATATATATATATATATATATATATATATATATATATATATATATAATGTAGAATATGAAAACGTTGTGTTCGGTTGCAGTAGACAAATAACAAAATCTGTGCGCTTGTCCAAAACTTTATTGATCGACGTTTTGATCAGAGAATGTTCTTCGTGAAGGCAAAATTTACCAGGCTTCGACGCGCTTTTATATCGTCGTCCTCCGGGCCGAGCGAGAGGGGGAAAAGAAGAAAGAAAAGAATTGATAAATTGAAAACAAAAGGAAAACTAAAAAAAGAAAAACAATTGAGTCGCCAAAGGTCAATGTGCATATTCTTGGACAGTTACGAAACCCATGTTTCCTCTGGTACAAAAAAAAAACAGTGGAAAAGTTAAGTAGATACGTTTACATGGATGACCGGGCCGTTTATTTTCCCGCCTCCCCCGGACGGCTCTCCCCTCCTCATTTGCGCGTGAAGTAGAGTGCGGAGATGAAGCTTCACAACAAGTGGTGAGCACTTAAAAAAAGGTCACCAGTGTCACGGCGAACTGATCTCCCCCTGTGGCGTGGCCGCTGAACGCTCCTCTCGCCTGTATACTGTAGAATCGGCTATGGCACTAGCTATCGGCGACGCAGGTGTTCCTCCTAAAGCTCCCATCAGCCACAGTTAGCTATCGGCGCCGGTAGTGTCAAGTGGTTCTAAGCAGTAGTTTGTCATCCTTCACATTAGGTAACATTTTTTCCCCACTCGCTCGGCTCAGAGGACGACGATATAAAATGAAGATATATCTCTGGTCAAAACGTCGACCAATAAACTGTTTTGGACAAGTGTACATCTTTCACACACAAACACACACACACACACACACACACACACACACACACGCACGCGCACGCGCACGCACACGCACACGCGCGCGCGCGTGTGTAAAAGAGTGAGTGAAAAGATAACTTGCCGTGGGCAGGATCCTGCCCACGGCAAGTTATCTTCTCACTCACTTTTTTACGTGTGTGTGTGTGTGTGTGTGTGTGTGTGTGTGTGTGTGTGTGTGTGTGTGTTTGTGTGTGTGTGTGTGTGTGTGTGTGTTCCGAATACACACCTGCACATTGAACTTAACCTGTCAAATCAAAGAACCATAATATGTGCAGACCTATAGATGTGCTATAGCACGCCATAGAAAAAAGAGGCTTCTGCCGAAGTGATGTCGGGCCCAATACTGTCACTCACGGTTTAACCACTGACATAGATTTCTCAAAATGACAACACCTCGCCAGTTTGCCCTTTCATTTTTTTCGCAGCTTGATTCAAAACAGAAGGAGCATAATTAACTATGTCATAAGCAAACAGCCCATGGCTTTCACCTTGGCTCGCTGGATTCCGTGCCGACCGGTTGTGCCCTCGCGATATCCAACGACAGTGCAACTCTGTCCGACTGTGTTGGTTCTACGCCACCTCCTGACGCCGACAACAACTCTCGCCAGTGGGGCCCCGTCCTCGGACTCCTGCTACCGTGTCCATCTTTCCTGTCTTCTCCTTTCTTCCGTCGTTCGCTGTCCCTGCGCCTCGCTCTCTCCTTCCTCTCTCTCTATCTCTCTACCTTTTAATCCAATCATTCTAATCCATTCTCCACTTCCATCCCTCGTGAGCCACTGTTGAGGTGTCCTCCCCCTGAGAGACAGTTACGGGGCTCACTTTTCTCTTCTCTTCATATATAATCACTTCCCCCTTTAGCGACATCACATCTTCCACAGACGCCGTTTCAGAGAGGGTGACCCCTTCGGGCTTCTTAGACTCGTCGCCGCTGTCTTCGTTCGCGCGTACCGCGAAAGCAATCTGGCCGTTGCGGCTATTGATCTCCAATGTCGTCGTCACCGTGGGTGAGCGGGTGGGCTTTGCCACGCTAATGAACGCCGAGGGCTTGCCGAAGGCTCCACGGGCCGAACAGAGGGGGTGGTACGCGCTCGGGCCCAAATGATCCACCGGTGCGGTCGTGCTCAGGCAGGGCCGCACCCGGGCGGCTTCTTCGCCTTCAAAGCGAGCCTTCAGATGAAGGGTTTAATGAATCCCCTAATGACTGGCTCCCAAGTGGCTCGTTGCCAATGCGCGGGAACGAAAACGCCCGGGATGCCTACGGTCCGTCAGTCGCCCGGCTCAGCTCGACCTTTCTCGCGCGACTTCAGCTGATTCGTCGCTCTTTGTCGGCGAGCTCCACGGATTTCCTTATTGCATTGGTCGTGCACGAGGCGTCAGTTTTCGCTCTTGAAGCACCACGTTTCAGATAAAACTTTTTGTCTTATCTTAAACTTCTGTCACCACCAGTGTGTCCCTTTGGGACAGCCAGCAGCAGTTCCGATTAAAGGGCACGTACTCGTTGTCCCAAATCTGCGCCAGTGCCCCGTTCTTGCGTCTGGAGATATTCAAGTCCCATAATTACGGAAAATGAGATATTTCTGCCATAGGCGGTTCGCTATAGACAACTAGACACCATGTCGTATGCAGTACGTATTCTAAATTTAATGTCAATATATCAGTCAACTCGTTAACCTATCTATCTATCTATCTATCTATCTATCTATCTATCTATCTATCTATCTATCTATCTATCTATCTATCTATCTATCTATCTATCTATCTGCGTGAACGTTTATTTGGGCGTATGGGCATGTCTGTGTGTGCACGCGTGTGCAAATGAAAATGTGCGTGCGTGTGTGTGTGTGTGTGCGTGTGTGTGTGTGTGTGTGTGTGTGTGTGTGTGTGTGTGTGGTGCGTGCGTGTGCGTGCTGTAGTATTTGCACTTTAAAAGCACGCCGGACTTATTAACATTTACAGTCTTCTCTTGCTAATCTTCGATGCGCTATTTGTGCAGTGTGTCGTTGTTTGTCTTGTTACCTATCAATTTTTCGCAACTCCAATTAAAGATATGAAATGGGCCTCCCGTGCGGCTGACCCACTCGCGCTTTTTTATTAATTGTTTTTTTTTAATTTTTCATTTACTGTATTTGCAAACAGAGAAAGAAGGACAAGGGAAAGGAAGGTGAAGAGGCAAGACATAACATCTCACGTGTGCCTATGACGAGCGAGAACTTTGTGTTTGCCTTCAGTACACTTAATAAATCCATAATTTCGTTTTTCAATTATTCCTGAGTAAGCCCCAGCGTCTTATGAGCCAAGAGATGCGGAATTTGTGATGTTTTTAACATTGAAATATCCGATAGATGTAGTTATAGTGTTTCGCTTCATTTTAGTTTTCTTTTTGCAGACGAGTTGTGTGGCTTCACCGAGGAACACAGACCATGGCCCCTATGCATGAACAGATATAAATTAAGCGAAACTTCTTGAGGCTTTGCAATCGCAAGGGAAAAGAAAGTTCTTGGGCGACGTGTTTATTTCTTGCTCTCCGAATTACGCACCACGTTAGATGCACCTTGTGGAAACGCAAATACGCGACTTCATTCAGGCACCAGTGGGACTGGCGCAAGAGTTTACAAGGCATAGGTTGATTGAGGCATATGTTTACAATGCAACGGGAAAACGATTCTATTTGAAAAAAAAATAACACTGATATGACCCATGATCCACTGATGCACTGCTTGTTGGTACACTGTTAATATGACATTTCAACAAATGTTTAATTATGCACGTCATTGAATATTACTTATTGCTTAACAGATCCGATATTGTGACAGCTTAATTGTATCGTTACACTCCAAATCTATATCTGGGTTCTGCACGACTGATTTGAAAATGAACGGCTGATAAGCAGTTTATTTGCCCCGTAAGTCATTTTTTTTACAAAGTGCGGCCATGCAAATTATTTCATCATAATTGTACAAGTGTGTCTACTCAAAAGTATTTTCACGCAGGGTGTTTGCCTATATGTTGAACAGTGATGTTTCAGCTCTCGCTGTTATACGTGTCGAGATTGAGAGATTGTTACAACGGAAGATGTATCACGAAGCCCATCTCGTATTATTCACAATTTATTTAATATTTTTTGTTTTTTTATTGTTTAGGTGGGGCACTGGACGCCCAGGGACAACGTGACCGTAGAAGACAACGTAACGTCCGACTACGATTCGCTACTCATCAAAGACAAGACTTTGATCGTGACCACAGTTCTCGTAAGTGTCAAACGTCCGTTTGCTGTTCAACATGGTGCAAGTTCAATACAGGAGTCGACAGGTAGTTCCAACCTTGCTCTTCCTTTCAGGAGTACGCTTAACATATAACAACACCAATGCGCTATGGCGTTATATGAAGCGAAGCACTTAAAGCAAAAAAATTATGGAGACGGCCGTAGTCCTCGGCTTAGATGTCTGGTAGTTGCACTCGAACGTCAACGACCGCATTACCTTGTGTAATCCTTGGGTTAACCTTGTGTTATGCACAATTCCAAAAAGATCTCGGAGGCCTCATAGAGAGAAGCGAGTGGACGAGATCTGCTCCGCCATGTGGCGCAACAATTCTAGCATCTCACAAAAAATATCGTACGCTCTTTCAATGAGCTCATTCAACTGATATTCAATAGTTGAGCTGACAGGTAACTGCTCCTAATGTTAAGCAAGCTTATGCTCCGACATAATATACATCCGATGCAAATGTGAAACCAGGACCATGATGTCGTGCCAGTGTTATCTTGTAAAAACACATTTTCTGAATATTCGAAAAAATGATCGTGAGGGCTACACCGGATGTGCCTAGAAATAAAAAAGAAAAAAACAAAAGCGTTACTTGTGCTTTGTGTAAATAACAATAACTGTTACTAACTGTGAGCCAATGGATTACATAACTCTTTTTTTATTTATATGCAAATGCATCGGAGTGTGTTGCAGCACAAGGTCGTGCAATGACGCACCGACCAAACTGCATAAAACGTCCGGATTTCCAATCCGCAGAGATAATCCAAGCATATATACACTGAAGTGTTATACGGTGCATGTCTCTTTTTTTTTTTTTTTGCAAGCGCAGACTGATCCGTACATGATGCTCAAGGAGTCGGCGGCAGACCTGCAAGGCAACGATCGCTTCGAAGGCTACTGTGTAGACCTCCTGAAGGAGCTGTCTAAGCAGTTGAACTTCAAGTACGAGATCCGGCTGGTCAAGGACAGGGCTTACGGCATTCAAAACGCCAGTGGAGACTGGAACGGAATGATAGGAGAGATAGTCAATGGAGTAAGTATAGCAACAATTCTTTTTTTGAAGCCAACATTCAGCGTTTTTGGCCTACACTCCACACAAAAGACTTTGCAGGCTACAAAACAAAATGGTCTAAAGAGCTCGGTGGTCACTGGAGCTATCGCAAAACTACTAATGTAAAACCTTGCTTCAGTCTATAATTGGTTCCATGGTATATAAATTTTGTGACTGACGATTCCTCGAAGTTCAGTCTTTTGCTTTCAGGCGCATGCATATCGCGATGACCAGCGTTGATTACCCTTTTATCAATGCGTAATCCACAGCTGCCGTAACAAGTTGGCATTGTGGCTCACAATGACACTTCATTTGTTTGCTTCTAGAGCTTTTCATGAAGACAGAAAAGGTTCCACGCTATCAATTTCATATACGCAAGGAGGGATAATCATCGTTTACTTTATGACTGCACAAACACGGTTTCGAACTAGCTGTTGTCGCATTCGGCGACGTTGTTATAGTATGGCTTGTTCATACCTACAGCCTTACGCAAAGATAAGGTGGTTTAAATTATTTTCCTCACTCAAAGTATGTCTTAAATATCGCTACCAGTCATCGTTGTTGTCTTTAAAAAATGAATATCCGTAATCATGGCCAAACATGAAACATGCTATTTTATGTGGCCTTGCTGGTCTCTCTATTTTCTTTGTATTCATGTGGCGTGAAGGAGGTGTTGCAAAACAAATTTTTCGTGAACTACTCCTTACGTAATGAATAGCTCGAGCGTGCAAAACAACAAATAAACACAAGAACAGAATGACGTGGAAAAATACAAAACACCTGAACACACATGTCTCGAACACTACCGTCATAACGTAAAATAAAATGCCGGTAGTGTCATCGTTAACGTTTAAAATTTCTAACAATGCACCTATAGTTATCGTAGAGATGATTTCTCTACAACATAGCAGTCAGCACATCGTAGAAACTAGCACACACACATAATAAGTACACACACGCAGAATAATATGTTGCCTCTTCAACTAATAGTGGCACAACTTTCATCTTGATTGTTTTGCTACATTATACTGTCTGTGGCACAGACTTCTTCAAAACGTCATTCCCACGCGCAGAAAGCGGACTTGGCCATAGCCGACCTGACCATTACGTCTAAGCGAGAGGTGGCGGTGGACTTCACGATGCCCTTCATGAACACGGGCATCAGCATTCTCTTCAAAAAACCCACTCAGAAGGTGACGACGCTGTTCAGCTTCCTGTCGCCCTTCAGCATGGAAGTGTGGGCGTACGTGGTGGGCGCCTACATCGGCGTCTCGGTTGTGCTCTTCCTGGTGGGCCGCCTGAGCCCCTACGAGTGGGACAACCCGCACCCGTGCCGCCAGAACGACCAGGTTCTCGAGAACAGCTTCAGCCTGCTCAACTCGCTCTGGTTCACCATCGGCTCGCTCATGCAGCAGGGCTCCGACCTGGCACCCAAGTAAGCTTCACAATGACCTATACTAACGATTGCGGGGCTTTTAACCAGGGATGTGATTATGAGGGACGTTGTCGAGAGCTCCAAAAATTTGACCATCTGGTGTTTTTTTTTTTTTAACGGGCACCTAAATCATTTGTGCAAACGGGCCTCGCACGTACAGATACATGGATTTTATGTGGCTGTTGTAACCATGACCTCTGTGCAGTATAGCACACCGGTTGTGACGCGCTAAAATCTCTACCTTTCCATTTCGTCTCTCTTCTTCTCTCCATGTCTTATGAGAATGAGCCAAAGTACGGAACATAAGTACGACACGAAATCTCAAACGGCGATTGCTGCAGATTTCATCTCTATCATAACCAGGAGCGTAATTGCACTTTCACTAATCATTAAGACTATATCGCGAATCGTATCATTTTAAGATGCAATAACATGACATGCATGAAGATTTTGTTTTACTTTTAATAGCCTATTACCTTTTCGTTAGTGCTAAGGTTGTCTTGAGGAAAGCGCAAGCAGTCTGTATCGCAAGAGTTTTGTTTATATTTACAAATAAATAATATATCATTGTCGCTCTTTTTGCATACAGAGCCATGTCAACGAGAACAGTGGCTGGTATCTGGTACTTCTTCACACTCATCATGATATCATCTTACACCGCCAACTTGGCTGCCTTTCTCACAGTCGAGAAGACTGTTTACCCCATCGAGAACGCCGAGGACTTGGCGAAACAATCGAAGATCAAGTATGGGTGCCTACGATCAGGCAGCACCCGGACATTCTTCAACGTAAGCGCTGTATTGTGTATTTGAGAACTATTTATTCGAGAATATTTCACGCTCAACGTCATCGCCCTGTGAAAAATCATCATCATCATCATCATCAGCAGCAGCAGCAGCAGCAGCAGCCTGACTACGTCCACTGCCGGACAAAGGCCTCTCCCATGTTCCGCCAGTCAACTCGGTCCTGTGCTTGCTGCTGCCATTTTATACCCACAAACTTCTTAATCTTGTCTGCCCATCTAACTTTCTGTCTCCCTTTAACCCGCTTGCCTGATATGTACGTATACATATTAAAGGGACACTAAAGGCAAACGACAGTTTATTTTAAAGTGAAAGATCAATGTATGACGTCTAAAACGGCAAAATATCGAACGGCAAGTATCAACAGTGCCCTACCTACCGAGAAATTAAGCTAAATGTAAGGCACCACGGGCCCCATAAGTGGGGTATTTTGGAAATGATCCCGATAACGTTAGAGCGTCTGACTACAACTAATCATTAAAACTAATAAAACTTGTGACAATCATTACAAGCAATTAGTAATCAATGTAGCTGCAACAACAAAAAAAAGAACATTCCGTGCAATAAGACACGCAATAAAAGGCTGCTTGTCCATTTCTGTTTGACTTGTAAAAAAAAACCGTCCTGGCGTTACTACGGGCAAAGGCACGTGTGGTTCTAAAATTATGTTTTCACCTGGTTAGACTGGATAGGTGGTGCTATCTAGCGAAGCCCAGTTGAACCAAGTGAGCAGAACCATGGCCTCCGAGATGACCATTGTTCTGGTGTGGTTTCTGCTACTTTTGTTGTGTTGCTACTAGTGTCGGTGGCCGCGCAGTAAAGCCGGGCAGCGTTGTACACGATAACAGTGACTTGAGGCGGACCACGTTCAGGCGGGTGATTTGAATTGTGCTAACGCGATGCAGGCCACTGAAACGTAATTTTTGTTTCAAAATAAGCCCATTTTTGGCACAAAAGTCTCGAACTACGAGGTTTTCCGACCGCTATTGTAGCGCTCAACATCGGCTTAATGCGTGTTTTTAGTGATCCTTAAAAGACTTGGCGGAAGTTCGGCTTGGGTTCGTGATTGCACACCCAGTCTTTTAAAGTGAATTGTTGATATTGTTTATGTTTTCTGTTTTAGTTTACTTTATTTTCATACTGAAAGCAGTACCTGGTGTAAGCTGAAGGCTCGAAAATCTCTCCTATTACATCAAGTCATCAAAAAACCACGCAATTGTTGTCACGGTGGCATCTGTCTTTTGTGCTGCGACGTACCACGCTTCTTGATGTTCTCATGCAGGAATCTAAGATTCCGACCTACAAGAGGATGCACAAGTACATGCTAGACAATGAGCAGGACGTGTACACAGAGTCATCCAGCGACGGCGTGAATCGCGTTAAGGCGGGAGATTACGCCTTCCTCATGGAATCGGCGTCAATCGAGTACATAATCGAGCGAGACTGCAACCTTACTCAAATTGGTGGTCTCCTAGACAACAAAGGATATGGCATCGTCACTAAGAAAAGTAAGCTCCTGCGAATCATTTGGTTGTGCTTGCAATATTTGTCTATTATTTTGATTCAGCTGACAACAGGTGAACATAAATAATTCACTTATTGCTAATAAAAACTCGTAAAGTTAATGTCCATGAGTTTTGCCAAACTAACTGTACATGCTATTTTACTACGTTTTTTACTGTCTGAAAGCCATTGCAGTAGTAACATGTCTTAATTCTGAGCTTTCGTTTCAAAAGATATTGCCCTGCTGGCTTTAAAATTTTCTTTATTAATAATTTCTGCATGCAAGCATAAATGTGCGGTGAACACTTTGTTTCTTCATGTCAGCGAAAGTTATTCAGAGAGCTTCAATAATTTTTTTAGATGCCTCCATCAAATTCTACTTTACCTCACGTCATATTTATTAGTTTATAGAGAATAAAACTTCAAAAAACATGTTCAGAGTTTCGCTGGAGTATAACCTTGTGATGCCTCTTGCTCTAAGAAAGGCCACTGAAACGCGCCTGTGGTAGCAGAACACGTCATTCTAGAATGTTAAATGTGTATCTCATGTCATATGTCATTATCGGTGTTGAACTACACGCTTTTTGTTTTTTTGCAATGAATAAACATTATAAATGTGCTCAATTATTCGCCGGAGGTTGACTATGACGCGTCCACTGTGGTGGTGTAATGGATACGGTGCTCGGCTGCTAAAATGAAGGAACGTTGGCTGTGGGACGCATTTCGCGTGAAGGTCGTGGGTCGCATTTCAATGGAGGCGAAATGCCAGAGGCCCATGTGTTGGGTGATGTCATTGCACATCAAAGTACGACAGATGAAAACTACCAGATTGTCGAAACTTCAGGAGCCTTCCCCTACAGCGTACCTCACATTCATATCGTTTGTTTGGGACGTTACACCCTAGATGTTAATATTAAAGCTCTGTGACAACTCCTGTTGTAAGAAAGACCACTCGAGCTACCCGGGGTAGCTAGATGCGTATTTTAAAATGTTTGATATTTTTATTATCTTTCTTTCGCTGAACTACACGTTGGAAACCATAAAGAAAGAACATTGGGAATGTGCTCTTATATTTGCCAGAGTTTGAATCTGCGACGCATTTCGTTGTAAGAAGGACTACTGAAACCACCCCTGGCTGCTAAGCACGCCACTTTAAAAGGTCCCATAGCATCTCCATAACATGTCGCGCATCAGGCTCACCTTTTTTTTTTTTTCAGAATCACCGTACCGCCAGATCTTGTCTAGCGGCATCTTGAAGCTGCAAGAAGCGGGCAAGCTGCACAGCTTCAAAGAGAAGTGGTGGAAGGAGCGCAAAGGCGGCGGCAAGTGCCTTGACGACTCCAAGAAGTCGTCGGCCGTCACCGAGCTCAGCCTGGCCAACGTGGGCGGAGTGTTCGTCGTATTGCTCGGCGGCCTCGGCCTCGCCTCCATCGTGGCCGTCATGGAGTTCTTCTTCAAGGCCAAGAAGATGGCCAAGGAAGACTCGGTGGGAACTCGTGTTGTATTTGCATAGAGGCAACCAAGTAGCACCGCCTTATTAATACATGAATGCTTTTTTGGCACGTTCTCAAGAGTGTGCGATCAACTTGCTCTCTTTGACTTTGTAAAAGGAAGAGTTAGGCGAAGGGGGAAATGAACAGAAGACTGGAAGAATAACAAAGCGTGGCCCAGTTGTTCATCGTACGCGTGGAGAGGTTAATTGGAAGGTGGGAGCAAATAGAGAGACGGATATCAAGAGAATACGTCAAGGCTCTACATGATTCACACGTTACATGCGCTAAGCAGGATATCTATAGACCAGCTCATGAAGTGCTCATATAAAGGCTCCAATGTGAAAGAAACGAGCCCTCATATATCATTCATTCATTCATTCATTCATTCATTCATTCATTCATAAAGAGGGCCTTTCTCCGGCAGACTTGATGCATTCAGGTAGTATACGAGGGCTTATCAGTCATCTGTCTGCTCTTTAAAGGGTCACGTGCTACGTGCTGTGAGCTATCAGAAAGTGTTCCGCAATCGCCGCCGTAGATGAGAACTAAGCTGACTAAAACTCTGAGGTTTGCATGCAAATAAGTTCCCGATAATGAGGACAAGATTACGTCCGCCGCTGTAGCTCGTTTGTTGGAGCATCGGGCAGGCTACCCGAAGGTTGCAGGTTCAGTTCATGCCGTCGGAAAGTTTTCTTCTTGTTCACTTACTTTCTTCATATCTGTAACAGAATTACTACAATACACTTAAAGGAGCACAATTAATTCCATCTATACATTTCTTGAATACATTATCTGCTAGTTTTTGTGAAGGTTGCGGGAAACAAAGAAACTTGCCACCGAAATTCTCTGCTTTAATTTATAACAACTGGTATAGCTTCCTTGGCTGTTGAGTTAGGAACCCAAGCTGCCAGTATATTTTGTTCCATGAACTGGTGCTCACAATGTTGGTTCAAGGCACAATAAAGATAAAGGAGTTGTTTGTCAAAGCGGTAATCAAGAGGGAACGTTCGCCACGTAGCATAAATGAAATGTGTCAAATAGAGCATAGATGGGCTGTGTAATCTGCTAGCCCTGAATTTGCTTATTTATATGCTGACGCTAAACTATTTATTGTCGGGCTATTTCCCCATCCCAGTGCCAGATAGCATACCCCATGTTATACCATCTGGTTTAATCTTCCTGCCTCTACCATCTCCCGTCTCACTGCCTCTTGAGTTGTGTGATTTCTCCTAGTAAAAGGACGGCGGGTTTGTAAATAACCAGAGCTTGGTCTGTTATCTTTGTAAGCTTTTACAGTAGGATTTATTCGTTTTTGCAGTTTCTCAGGTACCATGTTTGCGAACTGCATGTCAAATTTTGTCTGTTCCTTCCTGACGTGCAGTGAGTGAAATAGTTCGGCGCATGTCCTCCAGTAGCCTTCATATGGCGAAAAAAAATGGGTTCTTCTTTTCTCTTCATTCTTCTCAATTTTAACCTTGCGCTACGTTTTTCAAGTATCCTACAAGAATGTTTTTTAATACCAATAAAACAAGAATATTACCACTTCTTGCAATGGATGTGTGAAGATATGCTAGATTTTGCGGCTACGCAAATAACATCCGCATAATATCCTACTGCCCTTCCCTCACATACAATGAAGCACTGGAGGTTCTGCACATCTATAACTTTCTCGATAGCGATGGTGTTGGTACGTTTGCTCCGTGCAATTTTATTATTCGCCGACATGGCAGTACCTTTCCCCCACTAGATCAGCAGTAATGTAGCGTTGCGTCCACCTAATTGAAGAACCTTCTTCGGACCTTTCTGAAGAACTTTCCCTAGCTAACAGGGATTAGGGAAGATGAATATAAGTTAGTAACATGTCCGGTACAAGGCGCCATTTGGCGTCTTACTTAATGTCGTATTTGCGTTTCTGAGCGTTGAACAAAAATTACCCAATGTAAACGCGTCGTAACGTTCCGAAATGCAGGCCGTTGAAAATCTTTCTACCGAATTGCCTACTGTGGTGTAGTGTACCTTGAGTCCTTCTTAATCAGCCCACTTAAAACTTTTTTCCCGCTCTGCTTATCCAGGTCTCCCTGTGTAAGGAGATGATGAAGCAGCTCAAGTTCGCCATATCGTGCCGCAGTTCCACGATGCCCGTGAAAGGCAACAAGCCGCCCGAAGTGGACAGCAACGGCGGAGACTACCGCATCTCCACGCTGCCGTCCTTCACGTCGGACTTCTGAGTGCGTGTGGGTCCCGTGTGGGCGACGGGCGGCGACGACGGTGATATAACATTATGCCTACAGGACTCTTATGTGCCCGTCTCGACCGCCTCTTTCAAGTCTCGCACATGTCCCCTACCGAGACCACCATGTTCTCTCATCTCCACGTTGAGCACATTGCGAGGACGTTATGTTTTAGCGATATTATTATCTGGATGTGTGTCTGTCTCGTCCTTGTACCGACTGTTCCCTCTTCTGCCGCCTTGGCTTCACCCGGGCGCTTGATATGCTAGTGATCTCCTTTGACCATGCTTTGATTTCACTGTCGTGTTTAAGTGTCATACGAACTCGTTAGCGCCATTTTTTTTCCACCTGTTGCAGCCATTTTTTTTCCTCCGAACACACACGGCGTTTCCTCCTATCACAGCAGCTTATGTTCATCAGGGAAGGATGCGTTCTCATAATGACAGAAGCTTAATGTTGTCAACAATGCTGTCTTTGCAGGAGAAACCATTTCGACATTTGGGCTTAGCTTAGTGGGAGGCGTAGAAATGTCGCATTGTTATTGTCGCAACGTTGGCTCCAGAGACATTCTTTTTTTTTTTTGGTGACACTGATAAATTGTAAAGCTTATCAGGCTGATGGGAAACCCCGAAACAGATTTTTGTGGAGGCACTTTGTCTCCACTGCTGTGGTTACTGTGGGACAATAGCTTATAGGTGGGCTTAACATATTAAAGGCATTCTTCACCGATGCTTTATTGGGGAATGTGTGTCTAGTTGAGAAGTGTATCCAGTTGAGATTTCTTGTTATTCGATTCACGGGAAAACAACACAAAAAAGTGACGAAGCCGAGCAGAGGATACGAAGCAGACACAAACAGCGCCGTACTCCCGTAACATTCGCTTTCTCATAATGCTTTAGCACAGCCTGACCTGAACATGAAGCAAAGGACACGAAAATACAGAAAGGAACAGACACGCACTCATCCTATAGCCTTTCTTGCTTATTTATGTCTCTTATCTTTCATTCTCAATGTGAGCTGCGCTAAAGCAGTACAAGTTGAGCATAAAGGAAAAGAGACATAAGAAATAAATAAAGCAAAGGCAGAGTCAGTACCTGTCTTTTTAATTAACGCTAAAGCAGTACACAAATATGAGGCATGAACTTGCCCAATCAACAGTATATTTATTTTTCGTTTGTATTCTGCGGTTTTCCCTGTACTATAGATTTATTAACTAGGCGAGTGAACTTAACTTAACTGTAAGGAAGAACCTGTCGACGCTTACAGCGCTTAACAACCTTCCACTGGAGTCTGCGTAACACATAGTTTGTTCGACTGAGATGAATTTGCGAATTGGTAATAACGGAAATTTTCATTTGCTAGTGATATTCCCGCACGTACTTTCAACCTTTAACATTACGGAAAATATGGCATGAGGTTATCTAAAATTGCTTATGAAAACAAATATTACCCACACACGGTCCTCGCATACCTAACAGAAACAGTATTCGCGATTATAATTTACAGTTAATATTCACTGGGCAACGCAACGTGTAGGACTTGTATTGGTAATAAAGCTCTACAGAAGCAGGGCTTTACACATTTAATTCAATTTTAAATATGGTGATTTTAAAAAAAAGCTAAGGTAAAGTTATGGAAGGCGGCACAATGCATTGAATCTATCATTCGAGAGAAGCAGTAGAGTCTAGCGCTTGGGCAAGTAGGTGTCGTTTCAATTTTTTGTCCCTTTATTATTATTAGCCCTGGATCTAGCAGAAGCAATTGTGCTTATATCGCGGATGCTTGGGCTATCTTTTCGACACTGTCTCCTTTTGTTTCCTCGTCGTGTCGAGTACCTGGTTAATGTGTTACCACCCATAGCATGCGTGTTTTCCCTTCCCAAACATTGTTCGACACAGTATGTGAGCCTTCGACACGTTTTTACAGGCGTAAAGCACGCGGTGCATGCATCCCCACCGCCTAACACGAGGAGTACCTCAAAGTACACAGAACAGAACGACTGATAAAGGAGAAAAAAAACCAATAACGTTCTTCTTCTAGGATGCCGACAGTCACATACCTATACTACCTGCTCATTTGTTAAGCTGCGTTGTTTCGGCAGTTGTGTGCACTTGCGAAGGGCGCGTTTCGTACGTTACTCGGCGTTACGTCGTGCGAATGTGGTGTAGATTGTGCGTGAGTGGGCGTGTCTGGATGCGAGTGTTTCACAGCGTGACAGGTTGTCTCTTTGTTGTGTTCGTGACTCGGTGTCGTACCTATAGGCGGGAACGTAAACGAGACGAAACCATGGTTGCGGGCGCGACTGTCGTTGCCAAGTTTGTCGCTTCGTGCCAGAGATCACTGAAATTACGGTGCTCGTCGTACTTACTTCATGCTTCCCTCAACGACGGGGATACCGTACGTATAACTGCAGTTTAGTATCAACCTTTGAGCGGTGCTGTAGCTAGAAGTTGAAGATAGTTAGCACAGCCGTACATCTTCTCCGTGATGTGCCGCGTTTTTTTTTTTTTTTTGCTAAGTTGGCACTTGCGTTGGCTTTAATTACGAATTATTTAGCACAATTATGGATTAGTGTGCGTACTAGTCATACGTCAAGAAATACCGGTATGTAAGGTAACCTTGATTTTCATAACTGCAAGAAATAATTGTGCTCTCAATTGCTCTTTCTTCTTTCCTTAGTTTGGTCAAGAAGGAATCGAATTAGGATGTCCTGATGATTGCGCTTTCATTACTGTGACTGCGAACGTGCTAAGTCCTGGCTAGATAGTTGCCAAAAAAATATGAATAGCCTCCACAATACAATACGTGATCTCATAATGAGCAACAAAAAAAGAAAAGAAACAGTTACTAATGAATATTTATTATTACAGGCTGTTCCTAAAAGCTGGTAATTAGTCGTAACCATTTACGCCAAAGCAAAACTATTTTTTCATATATACGATGTGTTATGTTATTTCAGATTGGTCAAGGTATCTAAGATTTGTCGGACACTACTTGTCAGTCACAAATCATGGTTTCGAGTTCAAGTGATATCTCACGATTACTTTCTAAATCAGTTCATCCGTCAGGAAAATAATACACGGGAAATGTTAAGAAATCAGAACGTGCTTTCGAACGTGGCTAAGCAAATACTTGAGTACTTTTCAATACTTGCAAACGTTTGACATGTTCGGATAAAATTTGGAAGGTCGCTTTTGCTGGGCATCCTGTTGCTATGACCTCCGTAGCCTTTGCTCAAGTGGAATATATGCGCAGTTGTTGAGAATCCTAGATCAGCCGCTGCAGTGGCGATCATGCATTCGATTTCTTTATAAAGGCAATACTATTCCGTAGTTATCTCACTGGAGAGTTTCTCTTTCATGACAACCGGTTTTCATTTTCTCATTCAGCTCTTCGTTCTTTGTGTCTCGCAGCGTCACCTTCACGCAGATGTAAAAACATTCAAGGGCGAGAAAGTGGGCAATGAAAGTTGGTGATGTGTTTGAGTTAAATATCAAATTAAGAAGCCTGGTTATATATACGAGCCGGCTTTTCAGTGATGAAATCTATCACCATTAGGTCCTCTTCGGTTTTGCAGCTCCTCAGCTTCGCAACTGCTTCTCAGATGCCAAGTGAAGTTGCTCACGTCTCAAATACTCAACGAGTTGTTTAAGTACGTACGCTCGTACGTGCTTCGAAACTTAAGCATTCGCTACCTAAATACTCGTTTCTTCTCATCACGCATAATTTCCCAGGCGGGCGTGGAACGGTGCTCAACGTATGAGCTCCATGCACAGATCGTTTCTAGTACTCTGCTCCTCTCGACTATCTATTCTTCTGCGTCGAGGGGCCACTGGTACAACACTCGGCGACAACTTATCTGGACATTGAGGTGAAGGCTGTGATGGCGGGTCTTTCATGCTGTCATGCGGCCTCGCAGCTTATGGCCAATTTTGGTTTCGCACTTACGCACCATTAATGCGTTCGGAAAGTTATATACGCAAAAAAGGGGAATTAGAAATACATTTCCTTTGCTTAGAGTAAATTTTTGGGTCCTACTACGAGAACTTTCTTGTTTTAAAGCACTAAACAGCTCGTTCGCGGCCGTACACTAAAACACTACGTCATGGGCACCACATTTTCTTTGGAAAACAGCTGTGCTGAATAGGTGGTGCTGTCTGAGAAATAGAAAGAGAGAAGCAGGATTCCAAAGTGAAAGATAACCGTATTTCACCTTCGACTTACCGCAGTTCGAGTCTCTTAATGAATCAAGTATCATTTATTTCATTTAGTCAAGCGAGAAATATATTAGTAAACTCAAGTGTTATATTTTTGTTGTGGTAGCAGGCATTCAGTTCTGTAGCTTCGACAGTGCTGTCAAGAAACGTTGTCGCCGAGTCTAGTCAAGAAGGCGTTGGTGGCACTTGTGCCGTTGTCATGATCTCACCGACGTCGATAAGACGCTCGCACTGCTCCTAGTGTTTCAACAACTTTTGAGCACAGGCGAATAAGCGAGGGCCACGTGCATTACCTGTCTGTTCCCCCTGCTGGTTGAACGGTAAGAAGTGATGGTAGACAGACTCAATTCGAATTTGGTAATCAATTCTTTAGTTTTCTGTGATTATTATTTTTATTTAGGTATCTTGAATGTGATCGGCGCGGTGGATGAATGTCATAGCATTTCTCATCAACAAAAAAAGAGCATGAGGTCAGCACGTCGCGAAGGTCAGGGTGGAGGTGTTAGTTGATTTCGCATAATTCAATGAAGAGCTCTCCTTTGTTGACAGAGACAAACACAGCGCGTTTTTTTTTTTTTTATACTGAACAACAAAGTTGGTATGTACGCATATATTCCACGATCAAATCTTCTCAGGCGCATCGCTCAGTCGTTGATCGTAGTCATCTTTTGTAGTACTGACTCTTCGGATCTTATGTAATATAAGCGACTCTTTGAGGCGATTCTCTTTCACTCTTTCTCCCTCTTTCTCACTCTGCGAGAAGGCAGCGCGCAGCACGGCGTTTGGATTTCCTGCTTCCAAACAGTGCTGCCCTCTGGATGCGCATGTTTTTTTTTACATAATCGTAGTAATGTAGATCCCCGTGTGACATATAATATAGCCAATAGAATGGCCCCGATCGGCCTTCTCTTATCTACTCACTTCCGCGCGTTTCTTCGCCGTACTGTTTTCGCATGAAGTGCTTGTTATTCACAAATTTCAGGAGACAAAAAAATACGCGGCAGCTTCTTCGGTATGGAAACCTCGTTTTGTATCCAGTTGTTGAATGTCATAGCAGACTGTTGTCATTACTGAAATGCATTCGCGGTTGTACTTATTAATTTTTCCTTCTTTTTCTTTGATTCTCGAGAGTCTATTGTTGTTCGGCACAACGTGGTTCCAGCGAGTGACTTTTTTTATATACATTCTTCTTCTTCTACAATTTCTTCATCAAATCATACGGCGCTGCCTCTCCCAAAGCACAGATAGGAAAAGTAAAAAAAAACTGAATTAGCTTTAGTGAGATACTGTTTCTGTCTCTCGAATCCCGCATAATTAGCTCCCTTCGTGAAAATACTGTAAAATCTGGCATTCTCAAATAGTGCAGGCAGTCGAGGCGCTCTATGTAGCTTTAGGAAACGTAGTGCTCAGTCAGACATGACTAACCCCCGTAATGTGTAGGAGGCGTAAAGCTTCTTCAGTTTCGATAACGTAAACGAGATATCACGGGTACATCCGTGTAAGCTTTTTGAGCAAAATGGTTTCAACGAAAGTAACAAAGAAATGAGAATATTTCTATTGACTGTTGAATGTTTCTAGTCTTCTTTTTTTTTTAGACAGCCGCAGTGGCTGATTAAATCAGGGGGACGAAAGAAAGCGCGCCTTTCAGTGATTTCTTTGACTCCTCGCCGTTTCGAGTAAAGGAGTGGTTCAAGTGGTTTACGAATATGTATTGTATTAACCTGTTTAACGGCTGGTTGATCGGCATTAGTCGTCGAACACAACAAGCAATCATTTGTTCACTTCAACTCGCGTTTTGTCAGTGATGTTGGGAAAAAAAATACGTTTGTGAACTCCACTCGCGGCAGTGTTTGTCTAGGTGGAAACGGTATCACTTTGATACACTATTAAAAGTATTTTATCTAAATAAAAGTTGCATACGACTAACGCCTGAGACTCCTTTGTTATGTACCTGCAGTGCTGTGTTTGCTGAGCTAACAAGAGCACCACTGTATCTTCTTGATTTCTCTGCGGCCCAATCATCACGTGGTGTTGACCAGTTGGACAACAACAACAACAGCAGCAGCAAAAGAAAACATGACGCCTGTGCAGTACGGGCAGCACGATAAACCCGAAAGTTGGTGGAGTGCCTTTTTTAGGGCTCGTTGTGAGCTCTCTTGGGGCAACTAATACAAGTACACTTGCAGTCTATACACTACGACATTATTTCTGTTTATTATGAAGTATGGAAACACCCACTATGTAATTATTTGTCATTCTGCGGCGAAGAAGCGAGGTACCCGCTAGCCATTAGTAAGGAGGCATGTGCACTTTGCCGATGCTTCGGGTGATGACGATGAAGAGTGACGTGCCAAACGTTTATACGCGGGTCTCATTCAAGTGTATTAGATTCTAAAATAACAGTCCACTCAACTTGACGACACGTCCAAATGGCGAAGGAAAGAAACAGACGACATAAACATGGCGGAAAGAACGCTCGCTTTGTCGTCTACCTGCCATGTTTAGCGGCCGCTGGTTACTTAATACGCTTCGTAAAATTGTACATCAGCGTAGAAGGTTCTAGTGTTAAATAGAACATGTTTCTGTGAAATGACAAAAATAAGTAGATTACGTGCTCTTTTAGTAAGAAATTAATCATTTTAACGTGATGCCATACGCGTCTTCGAGATATACAAATCCGAGTCATGTTCGAAGCTCACGTATCCCGTCATTCTCTTGCATCCAGCAGCTCACTAGCGCCAGATTTCCCTTAGGTATGTTTGCGAGAAACTCTATAGCCAGAGCATTCTGAGGCTGGAAGGGGAAACACGGTACCGTGTCTTCTTTCGCAAACAGCCGAGGCACGGCAGTCACGTGATCACTTGTTGATCGCGCTCCGAGGCCAAAGGATGGCGCCTCAGAATGCTCCGAGTGTCAGAGTAGTGCTCTTGAGAGCATTTCAACGACCCGAACAAAACGCGCGTCAGCAGAGTGTCCTGGAGCACAAGGATACGGATGCACTAATAATATGTTCTAAAGTAGGAGGACACTACGATGCATTTGCGTTATTAACTGCTATCGGTTTATTAGGTTTAGTTCGCACTATGCATCCCAAAAGGAATGGCGCCTTCGGGACAAGCTCGAAGAGTGGGACTTTTTCCGCTCGTGACTATATCGCCTTTTCTCAGGCTTCCGGTAATCCAGTGGCTCCAGCGTCATCTTCATGTGGTCCAGGCTTTGGCTGCACGAGGCGGATATCCGGCGTATGTTGATAGTAGGACCCGTGTTTTTGCCAGGCATTCGAATGAGCGCCGCCAGCGAGAGGAACATCATACTCGCAGAAATGGCCAGGGCGAGGTCCTCACGACCGACGACCTTCAACCCCGCCGCGATTGTCCCGCACACGCCTCCCATTCGGCCGACGGCGAACGACCAGCTCAGCGCCGTCGCGCGCACAGGTGTCGGGAACACCTCGCACACGCATATGCCAGCCAGGACGGTCATGGCAAGCGCGATGGCCTTGGCTGGGATGTAGAACACCTGCGCGAGGACACCCGTAGGATCTCCCAAGGTCAGGCTGAGCAGGCATACGAGGCTGCCGAGAATGGCGAAGCACCATATGAGTAACTCCAAAGGAGGTACCCGGCCTATGAACTTGTACGCGAACAGAGTTGTCAGCATGTTGCTGGGTAGCGACAACCAGCGGGTCCACGTCTGCGTACTCTGCTGCACAGACGACTGGAGCAGCACGAGGTAGGTGAACGTGACGGAGAAGTACGCGCCGAACATGAAGAGTGCTCGAGTGGGTATGTAGTTCGCCCACGAGTTCTCGGTAGGCACGGGCGACGTCCCGGCACGCTCATCGGCCTTTAGCACCTCAGCCTTTACGGCGTTCAACAGGCAGGAGGTGATGGGCAGCGGTACGTTGTTCATTTTCGCGGCCGCGAGCATCACCGCTTCCGCCGAGGCCATGTTTCTGGCGAAGATGAGCCATCGTGGAGACTCGTCGGCAAACCAGAAAGTGAGGAATGCCAAGGCCGTGGGTGAAAGGAACACCGCTTGAAGCAGGAACCATTCCAGATTGAATTCGTTGACCACGTTGTACCACAGCTCACTGATCATGAGGGCCAACAGGGTGACCGTAACGCCATACGATGTTCGGTATTCGTGTCTGGTTGTCTCGAACGCCAGTATGAAGGACGCTAGGGCGCCCGTGCCAACGCAGGCGCTGTTAAAGAACCTAATGGTCACGTACAGGGCGAACGTGTTGGCAAAGCAACCTCCGCAAGTGCTGATAATGAACGCGGCGGAGGACAGCAGGAGTATTGGCCGGCGGCCGACGCGGTCCATCATGTAGCCGCCAATGCTGGGCAGCAAGATGAAACCCGCGAGCTGCACGACCTGTATGACCGCGACGAGAAATCGCCGTTTGCAGACCAGGTTCCAGGTGCTCACGACCGTCCTTTTCTTGTTCTTCGGATCGTAGTCCCAGTGGCCGCAAGTTGTAACGTCGGTGTCGTTCGGGTCACCCGGATACTTGTAGACAGTGCACCGGCTGGGCCTGCCATCAGCTGCCAGAGGGATGGCCGAGTTCCTCCATTCGGCGACAGACAGAGGCCAGTCGGCCGGCGGTCGGCACCAGTGGTCCACGTCACTCGATATGAGGTAGAAGACCAGTATGCTGCAGTGAACATACAGCGAGAAGGCGAAAGAGAGAGAAAACAGGCGCTGCTGGTAGAGGCCGTGCCCCATCGCATCGTAGCAGTCGAATGAATCGCTGGTGTCCAGGTCCAGAGCAGCCAAGCGTTTTCGACAGAAAAGCGCCATCTTCGACTTATTTGGCCTCGCACGCGCACGTGTCGCGTGCCAGCAAAGCATCTTCTTCTTATCATAACATGTGTCATACCTGAGCTTTTCCGCGTGAAACTTTGTTTTTTTCCCCGATTGCGAAAGTTCACACGTAAACAAAATCTGCATCTACAAAATCAGGGAGTCAAATGATTTAGGCAAAACTTATATGATGGCTGCAAGCTGGAAAAGTGAAGTATGTTAGGATGTTCATAAGTATCATGTAAATGCATCGCCTCCCTTGAGATAATGCTTCTTTTCAGAGCACATCAATTCAATTGCTCGAGAGAATAGAAGGTCTTAAACATCTATCCTAACCATCTTAAATCGTCTTTGATGGTTAGATAAATTTTCGACTGTTCAAACAGGTACGGATCAATGAAACGTCAAGTTGAGAGCATATTATGCAGCAGAGGCAATTCCTTGTACTGACATGTTAAAGCCTCGCATGATTGTACTTTCGAGAAGGCATTCCCAAATTCACCGAAATGCTGGATGCACAAGAATATTTGTTATGAAAAAAAAACACAAAAAATAGATGAGGACTAAGCAAGATACGAAACAGGCGCTGACTCGCAACTAAAAATAACTAAAAAATGTTGATTAGAATTCAGATGGTCAAAATATCCGGAGCCCCACACTATGACGTGCCTCATAACCATATCAGGGATTTACTATTAGTGTATCAAGCCTAAGTTGTGGCTGATCAACAAACAATTACGCATAAGTTAAGCTTTGTTTAAAACGGGGGAACCTGCTTCCAGAAACCGAATTCGCCGCCACGTACCGGAATACCCCTTATTTCTATTATTGGCTGCTGCAATCTGTACCCTTCAAATGTAACAATCAAGGCCGCTGTCACGTACCGAGTTAATTTTCTGCAGCTAAAACGAAAGGCTCAAGCAAAAAAAAAAGGGAAAAAAGGGAAACGCGAGGCGAAGGAGAAAAAAAAACGTACATTTCTTGTTCATGTTGTGCTAGCGCTTTCATAGATGGCGCAACGATACAATGGCTGCAAGTTTGTCATTTTCAAATTCGCAGCGCGTACAGGGCGCGCCGTGGGATCGGCCAACAATTGTTATTAGTTCCGATGCTGCATTGTTTCTTATTATTACACAATGTAATTACGCAGCGCTACCCTGAAAAATGTACGCTCACTAAAGTAATGAAAATTAAATTTATTCAGTACGAATGCCAGCATCGACAGCTTTACTGTGCTGCCACACTGTACGGAAAGCGTAATGTTTTTTTTTTTTTTTTTCGTGACACGTTCGTACGCGTTTCTTCTTCATCCGCCACCATTTACCACCCTTCTGCACATGCGTGTGTATAAGAAAATCAATAAATTGATTGGTGAATGGCTCAAGCGTGCCGCGAGGAAACGAATGTCTGTGGCCGTAGCATCAACCGCTTGAAATGACGACGATGATGATGGTGACGCCCTTTATGAACGGTTCACACCCACTCAGGGGAATTGGCCTTGGAACAAATAACTTACGGATACAATTGAGAGAAAGGCAAGAAGAGGAAAATGGAAGCCTGCGATGAGAAATTCGAAAACGGGAGGGTGGGTGCCGGAGCCGACGTTTCGAAAATCGGGCTTGTTTTTTCAACGTTGCTGCTTTCAAGGTTGCAAATTCAATACGACGCTGAAACTTTCAACTTGAAAGTCGCAGTGTTGAAAAAGACGAATACGCTCGTTGAAAAGTCGGCTCCAGCCCCCACGCCTTGTTTTTGGAATTCCCATAGACAAAACTTGTCGAATGATACATGATACGTCGAATATATATTATTCAGAATGAATCAATGCTGCTTATTTAGAAATTTGAAACCATGCGTACGAAACATTTACACGGAGTAAGCGTGAATGTGCCTCAGCTATTTGGAGCCCTCACCAAGCATACCTCATTAACATTTTAGAATCCATACAGAACCGTGCGACCAGATTCATCTCTTCCAGGTACAGCCGTGATGAAAGCATCAGTGTCATAAAGCTATCCCTGGGAATTGGGTCATTGTCATTCCGACGTAAGATTGTAAGTATAAGGCTGTGCTTGTTCCATAGGCTCTATTACAACTTCCCTCAACTTCGTGGTAAGATCCTAAACCCACCACACCGTACATCTCGTCGCTTGTTTACTCTTGCAGCATCAAGCGGTTGCATGGTTCAACGTCTTCTTTCAATCAACCTTTTTTGCCGATCGCCATTGCAGAGTGGAATATATTGCCAGATAATGTTGTCACCGAGCGTAATTCCATTGTGTTTAAGCTGTTGCTTGCTAATCACCTCACGCTGTATTATTAATTACGACCTTGCACTGTTCTTCACGTCTCGTTAAATTGTAATGTTTTATTTTGCATCTAATAAACAGGTAATTTATTTCACTGAGATGGTTTCAAATTTGTGACCTGACAAGTCTCATGTCTAACTTTCTATGTTACCCCCCCCCCTCCCTCCTTAAGTAATACCCCGACAGGAGCCTTTAAGGAAAAAAGAAATGATGATGGTGACCACTCTGACTGAATTTAAATTATTCCAAAGTTCCTACTGCAGCTACAGTTGCCAAGTGCCCACTACGCCATAATTCTTTCTCTTGCGAATCGGCGCAGGGCTCACTGCGCGTTCGTAAGGCAATTACATGCGAACCTACGCACCTCCTCACTTTGTTGTTGATTTCGCTGCTGCTGCTGTTGCTGATGATGACGGTGGTGGTGGTGGTGGTGGTGATGATGATGATGATGATGATGATGATGATGATCAGACATTTCTGAGTGTTTTCAGGGGGTACATCTGTAAACCACCCACTCGTTGCACAATTCACACGTTTTCAAGCCTAGCGCGATATTTAAGGAGACCCTTCCCACTACATGATCTTCTGATAATGGGCTTCTTTTCCTCTTCCTTTCTCTGTTCCTTTTTTTTGCGAAGCAGTTTCAAGCAAAGGCGTGGCTCGGTGTTCTAAAATAAGTGCCCCGCAGATGGCCTGGGTTCAAGTCCCACTCAAACCGAATACTTTAAAATTTATTTTCTTTGCATCTTTCAAGATTTTGTTGCTCATGCACAACGCTGCATGGTTTTTCGCTCAAGACGCCCACACTGGAATTTTCGCGAAAGGATCTCTTTCATGACATTCCGTTAATAAACTTTGCTTCTATTCGCTACTTATTTTGGCTGTAGGGAACGAGCGCTGGAGTTTCCACGCCTGCCCTGGCGGTCAAAGCGCACACTTCTCAGCCGCTTCCGCAGGACGAGAGTGGCGGCTCGTAGAGGTGGTGCGGGCGCGCATCTACTGGCGGTACTGCTGCGTGTTGAAGTACGACAATATGTAGAAAGGAGGAGAGGCGTATCTGTGTATGTTTTAGGGGCAGTGCGTCCCCTGTATGTAGCCACTCTCGTTTAGTTCTTGCAGTGTTCACTAGATGACGGTACCATCCTCGGTATGTAGCCACCTCTCGATTAGTTTTTGCAGTGTTCACTAGACGGCGTTACTTGTAGCTGATGATGAAAGATGCGAGATATTATAAAATAGGAATGATGTCACATATGGCACGTGTCATTGGTGGAAGGCAATCGTTTGATTTAGTGCGGCGACGTATTCTAGGGGGAGCGTTGTAATGAAATCGAGTGGGCAAAATGTACGGAGGCTTCATGGTTTACCAGGTTTACCTCCCGAGCTTCGCTCACTCATCGTCATTCACTTCATGAATATGGCGGCACTTTTTCCTTCTTAATCATATCGATAAGAGAGCAAGGGGCGTTGCATCCAAGTGGTCAGGCGAGCAAAGTACGTATGTTCTGTTCTCGCTCTTTTGTCTTGTTGTTTCGGGCTAGTTTTCAAACTGAATGACGTGTGTCATATTGATTCGATAGTGAGGACGGCCACCAATAGAAAGAAGGGTCAAACAGGTAAATTTAAACGACCTTTTGCCGCAAATAAAACGAGTGCCTTATGCAGTATACGGCATAATTATTTTTTTTTCATCTGGTCTGCTGAAAGTTGGGTTGTGCACCCCAGCCCAAACGAAATTATCTCATATATCTATCCTTCTGACCACCACCACCGAACGCCATCTGATGCTGCCGCGTGAAATGAATGATACAATAGGCAGGTAGTCTACTTTATTTGTAAAGAGTCACGCATAAAGGAAAGCTGTTTTGTCCACAATATTTGTGCGGGGGCACGTTCGCCTACGCCTCAGAACTTTTATAAAAAGAGGATCTCGCGGTGAGCACTCAATGCTGAAAAGCATCTGTTTAACTTGTGCTAAAGCCAGGGTTCTTTTTTACGAACGAAGCAGCGGACTACTCGATTCTTAGCTTTCTGGAGTCAGCCGATGCGGTAAGCTTCTTTTTCAGTGGCTGCCGAGGCTAAGTAACATCGGATGTCTTGCCTTGCTAGAGAATTTTCAAATGTTTTTCATTTTTACTCATCGTTTAGTTCGCCTAACGCACAATTTCACTTTTTGCGCTTGCCTGTGTCGGCTTAAAATAAAGGTGTCTGCTCAACATTGATAATTCCTAGGCTTTCACGTGCAAACAACACGTCATTTTGAGGCGCGCTGTGGTGTGAGTATCAGGAATAATTGTGACCGCACGGGGTTCTCCAATGCGCACATGTATCTTTGTTCACGGGTGTTCTTTGTATTGCCCCGCCGTGGTGGTCTAGTGGCTAAGGTACTCGGCTGCTGACCCGCAGGTCGCGAGTTCAAATCCCGGCTGCGGTGGCTGCACTTCCGATGAAGGCGGAAATGTTGTAGGCCCGTGTGCTCAGATTTGGGTGCACGTTAGAGAACCCCTGGTGGTCAAAATTTCCGGAGCCCTCAACTACGGCGTCTCTCATAATCATAGGGTGTTTTAGGGACGTTAAACCTCACATATCAATCAATCAATCTTTGTATTTTATACCCATCGAACTGCAGCCGCCGTGGTCGGCAATCTAATCACATGCCCTCAGCATAGCAGCGCGACACCACACGTG